CCTCCGCTCGCACCGCCCGGCCTCCGCTTGCCCTCCGCTCGCACCGCCCGGCCTCCGCTTGCCCTCCGCTCGCACCGCCCGGCCTCCGCTCGCACCGCCCGGCCTCCGCTTGCCCTCCGCTCGCACCGCCCGGCCTCCGCTTGCCCTCCGCTCGCACCGCCCGGCCTCCGCTTGCCCTCCGCTCGCACCGCCCGGCCTCCGCTGGCTTCTTAAACATTATATCGGCGTATAACACGCATACATCATTTGCCCCCTATTTTCAGGGGGAAAAAAGTGCGTGTTATACGCCGATAAATACGGTAAGTCTAGGTGCCATTTCTATTTCTAATCTACCTCTTATTTCCTTCCGTAACAGATTTCCTACAGGGTATTTGCGCTTGATGTGGCCTTGGCTTTGTTAGAACATCCAGAGCGGTTTCCGGATGTCGTTTTGACTGAAGAGGAGCAGGTGTTTCTGAAACACAAATTCCTGGTTCAGGTCATGATCATCGGTCGGTGTTCAGACAAAGTGCCCACCGTTCGCAGCAAAGCCCTGTCAAGCTTTGCTCAGTGCCTGGAGAACAAAGTTATCCCAAACGTACAAGACATTCAGGAGCTGCTGCATGGCAGTAAGTATGAGCTCTTGAAAAAAAAACATTATGCAGATAGCAGTAGCGCTTAGACTTATATACCGCTTCACAATGCTTTTACAGCCCCCTCCAAGCAGTTTTACAGACTCAGCATATTTGCTCCCAACAATTCGGGTCCTCATTTTCCTGACCTGGGAAAAATGGAAGGCTGAGTCACCCTTGAGCCGGTCAGGATCAAACTCCTGGCAGTGAGCAGTGAGTTAGCCTGCAATACTGTATTCTAACCACTATGAAGGAAAGAAGGCAGAGAGGGAGGGAAGGAAAGAAGGAGGGAGGAAGGAAGGGAAGGAAAGGAGGGAGGAAGGGAAGGGAGTTAGGAAGGGAGGGAAGGAAGGAAGGAAGGAAAATAGCCATAGCACTTAGACTTATATACCACTTTACAGTGCTTTTACAGCCCTCTCTAAGTGGTTTACAGAGTCAGCCTCTTGCCCCCAACAGTCTGGGTCCTCATTTTACCCACCTCAGAAGGATGGAAGGCTGACTCAACTTTGAGCCAGTCAGAATCGAACTGCTAGCAGTGAGCAGCAAGTTAGCCTGCAGTACTGCATTCTAACCACTGTGAAGGGAGTTAGGGAAGGAGGAAGGAAGGAAAATAGCACTTAGCACTTATATGCCGCTTCACAGTGCTTTCCAGCCCTCTAAGCGGTTTACAGAGTCAGCCTCTGGCCCCCAACAGTCTGGGTCCTCGTTTTACAGACCTCGGAAGGATGGAAGGCTGAGTCAACCTTGAGCCTGGAGAGATTCGATCTTCCAAATTGCAGGCAGCCGGCAGGCAGCAGAAGTAGCCTGCAGTCCTGCATTCTAACCACTGTCCCACCGTGGCTCTTATACCCACGTACACACACATATATGACACAGAGAAATATCAGATGTAGACATACACATGGCAAAAAATAATAATAATAATTACAAGGCGGATGGCATAAAGTCACATGAATGGGGGACCCTGCAACCATCATATATACATGCCAGTTGCCAAGCTTCTGAATGTTGAACCTGTGCAGTGTAGTACAGAAAACAGTCATAAATCCCCTTTTTTTGGTACTAATGCAAATTTGAACCATCACTAAATGAAGTGTAAGTCCAAGGACTACCTGTATAATTCCCTGCCACGAAGGGCTTTTGAAGTTTGTCACTGCTCTGGTGTGAAATTCACAGGTTATCAAGGTAATTCATCCTTTTCATTTGTCTCCCTCTGCAGCAGGTTGTTCTTCGGTCATGGAAACAAACACTCCTGTTGAAACATTCCTAACCAATGTGGAAGGTAAATAGTCTAGCTTGCTTTTATATATATATATAAAACATTTTGAATGCAGTGTATTGTCAGGGCATATCATTTACAGAAAAGCAAAGAAAATAAAAAGGAATATTAATGTATATACAAATAACAATAATAGTGTAACAGAATAGTTTTAACTAGATGTCTCTTTATATTAGCTTATTTGTAATTCTGTTGGTTATATTGGCGTGTTTACAAATATAAACTATCGTTATATTTAATTCATACATAGCAATAATCTTTCTTCATCCAATTTCTACCTCTTACCTGTAACCACTTGTAAAATCTATTCCATGTTTTAATAATATTCTGTGTCTTCTTTGTCCTTTATTTTTAATGTCTATCTACCCATTTCTGCACAGTCTTAATATTTTTCAAATTACATCCTCCTCTGATGGTGTGTTCTCATTTTTCCAATATTGTACAAATACAGTCCTTGCTGCTGTCAATGCATGCAAAACTAAATATATGGTCCCTTAGTCTAGCTTGCTAAGAGACCGTGCTGTCCCATTCTTTGCTCAGTGTTGAGGCCTGTTGAAAATGTTTTCTGATGGAAAGAGATCTCCGAAAAAATCAGCTTCTTTGAGCAATTGGTTTCTCCCCTGAAAACCTCCCCCGCCCTGGGTTTTACAATCTTCAAGAGAGAGCCATTTTAGGATTGTTAGGCATCGTTAAATATCTTTTGAAAGAAAATAGGAACTCAGTTGAGTTTATAACCGTTCCGGGAGCATCCTTTAACAGTCTTCTGTTTCATTTAATCCACCCATCAATTCTCCTTGAGTAAATATAGCATCATTTGAAATAATGGGGTCGGGGGTGCAACCAGTGCCTCCCCCTTTCTTCTTTGCCTTCTCCTACTGTTTCCCACCTTTATTTTTTCCCTTGAAGATGTGTGTCACAGTTTGTCACTGTAGCAGCAGAATAACGCAGAATAACGGTCTTATTTCTGAGGCAGCGGCCTCATATTTGTGCCTACACCTTTGAGAATTTTCCCTGCCCACTCCTGTGAGTAATAAATTGGCCTGCCTTGATTCTCGGTTTTCTGAAATAACTGTCGTTCCCCTGTCAGAATCTGACTCGGAGGAGAAGCCAAACAGCTGACAGGGAGTGGGAGGGTGGCTCCGTTGGCTGTGGAAGAAACTGGGGAAGGGCAAAGTCCGACTGGGCAGAGCAGGAGAGAGGTAGAGCAAGGGAGAGGGAATTCAGAGGAAGACCCAGGCCCACCTCTTCATCCTAGGGTACGCAGGGAGGAATGGAGAAGAGAGCGATGTGGGTTGCATGGCTTACGGGAGAGGAGAGGGCCCTGATTCCCTTCATTAGCTGCAGCTGGGAACAAAGTATTAAAAAAAGCAAGCTGTTGGGAGCAAACGTGAATTTATCTTGTATCATCGTGGCTTATCTGTGTTCCCGGCGTCTTCCCAACTGTGTGAGTTTTGTGCTTTCAAGTCTGAAATTCCTTCTCCTGCCCTGTCAAGTTAATTACTTCAGTTTGGTTTGTTTGGATTTTAAGTTATCATTTATGTGTACCTTGTTTTGGACTGAATTTTCTACCGTTAAAGGCTGTTCCTGGGAGAGTTTTTCTCCAGCCAAAGGTAACCTGGACATTGGCAGCAAAGTTGGAGATAATTTGCTTATCTGACTGTGTTGCCTTTGTGCCACGCCCCGGGTCATCACAATAACTGAGAGGGCTTCTTTTAAAGGTCGTACCAGCCATCAGCTGAAGACATTCCCAACCTTCAAAACCATCGAAATGACCCACGAACGGGACTCCACCAAGTTTGACGGTACGCCGGGTTTCAAAATGGGGTTTGTCTTTTAAAAAGAGAGAGAAGGAGGGAGAAGATAATTTTCTGTGCAGTTTTAATTTGGGTTTACAAGGAACAAAAACATCAGGAGGTTGAGGAGGAGGAATTTAGGAAGCGAAGGTCTGAAAAAGATGAGGGAATGTTGTCCCAAAAGTGCGTTTTCACGAGGCAACTGGACTTTCTGGTTTTTCTTTGAAGACATTTCGCTTCTCATTCAAGAAGCTTCTTCGGCTCTGACTGGACAGTGGGGAACGGAAGGATTTATACTCCTTAAGTATAAAGGAGTATAAAGAAGTATAAATCCTTCCGTTCCCCACCATCCGGTCAGAACTGAAGAAGCTTCTTGGATGAGAAGCAAAATGTCTGCAAAAGAAAAAAAGCCAGAAAGTCCAGGTGCCTCTTGGAAAAATGAAAGCACATTTGAGACAACCATGACCTGGAGGACTGAGAATCTCCATAGACATGAGGGAATGTTGAAGAGCAGATCCAGGTCTGGAGAAACATGAATTGTCCAATCTCCCAAAATTGAAGAACAAAATTAAATTTTAAAAAGTTGTGGGTTGTTTTTTTGTCAAAGGTTTGAACTATTTACTTGTAGACAGCTTCAAAAATTGGGTTCCAGGGCTGGAAGACGCCCACCCTGCCTGAGTAAATGTTAAATGCTTGTGGTGCTCAGCTGAACGCATGGCAGCTCTGAGAAGTCTCCATTTTTTCCCTCCTATTCAACAGGAAAAGAAATCATGGCCATCCTGAGGCGGAGAGCTATAGATGAGAAGACCAATGTGAGGAAATCGGCCCTCCAGGTAGGTATCTCACCTCTTCTGCTCCTGCCCAGGCCGATCAGGGTTCTTTAAAAGGAATGTCGTATAACAGAACACGAAAACCTGCAAGAGGGGACCATTTTTTCCATGATTTCTCTAGTTTAACAGCAGGCCCGCCATCGTGGCTGAGAGGCAAAATAAGCCCCTCAGAAAACACAAGGATGGGGTTGTTTTGCTCAATAAAAACACCGGATCACCAACCCATTTAACATATTCATATTTTTAATTAGCATTTTCATGCCATCCCTACTCCCAGAGGTGTTTTTTTTTTTCTTTACAAGAGGCCACTGGACTTTCTGTTTTTGTTTTTTTTCTTTGAAGAGGTTTTGCTTCTTATCCAAGAAGCTACTTCAACTCTGGCTTTCCATTCCCCACCATCCAGTCTCAGTTGAAGGAGCTTCTTGGATGAGGAGCAAAACCCCTTCAAAGAAAAAAAACAGAAAGTCCAGTAAAATGCCTTCTTCCTCCTCTTTCCCGCTCCCCAACAACAACCCTGTGAGGTGAGTTTGGGCTAAGAGAGAGGAAGAAAGGGAGACTGGACCAAAGTTGCCCAGCTTGGTTTCATACCTAAGGCAGGACTAGAACTTTCTAGGCTAACACCTTCAATATTGCTCTATTATAACTACAATTTTTCATTGATTCAT